CTTGTCACACACCGCCCCCCCTCCCCTGCCAGTCCTCTCTCCGCCCACCGTCTTCCCCTCCACCCGAACTTGCAACAAGTTCCTTGCTCTCCAGCTGTCCCTTCCCGCGGGTATCCCGGCGCTGCCCAGGCCTGAGGAACCGCTTCTGGACCGCGTAAATCCCGCAGGTACCCAGCGCAGCCTGATCCTGCCGAGCACAGAACACGCTGGCAAAGCAGCCAAGGGTGCCACCTGCCGTCCTCCTGGGGGCTGTTGCCCAGTGGCGTCAGCAACCAGCAGCGGGCAGCGAATTCCTGCGGTTCAGTCAAGCAGCAGTGGCTCTTGGATGTGGCGAGAAACAGTGACACTCCTGTCCCCACGCCGGTGATGCAACTTCTGTGTGTGAGGCATGTGAGGAGCAGAGGACAGGCCCACAGACCAAGGGACACAGAGCCCCTGACATCTTATGCTGAATAGAGCCACCCCCCCACACCCCAGGCTCCGTCGGCAGCCCATCAGGAACCACCCCTCTCCAGATTCTAGTTGAGGCAGGCTGAGAAGGAAAAGCTTCCACCCCACCCACAGCCATGCAGAGCAGCCTGGCCTCTTGTGCTCTGCAGAGGACCTCCTTCCAGGATCCTGCAACCCCTCCTGGGCACCATCACACCCCACCACCTGGAGGCAAAGCCTATCTCTTTCCACTGCAGGGAATCAGATCGAGGACATGACCCAACACACGGCCCCTGTGGCTCTGCCTCTGACTTTAGTGGCCGAGCACGTAGCCCCTGTGGCTGTTGTGCCCCTGACTTTAAGGACTCAGCACATGGCCCCGCTGGGTGCTATGCCTCTGACGTTAGGGATCCAGCATGGGACGCTGTGGCTGCTGTGTCTATGACATCAGGAACCCAGCACGTGGTCCCTGTGGATGCTGTGTCACCAACTAGGAGCCCAGCTTGTGACCCCTGTGGCTGCTGTGGCTCTGACTTTAGGGAGCCAGCAGCTGGCCCCTGCGGGTGTTGTGCCTCTGACTAGGGACCCAGCATGTGGCCCTCGTAGGTGCTGAGCATCTGACTTTAGGGACCCAACACGTAGCCTCTGTGCCTGCTGGGTCTGTGATTAGAGACCCAGCACATGGCCCCAGGAGTACAGGGAAAATGCCTCTGTCTTCCTCAGGAATGTGTCCTCGGTGCCTGGAGGGATGCTGGATGTCATAACCCACAGGGTTTGAAGAAATGAATGAGTGGATAAATGGGAGCTCTGACCAATTAACAGGGGCATACAGGCTGATTGAGGTCAGATGCCAAATGCTGGAGTCCCAGACACATGGCACTCAGCCCACGCCCAGGGGTTCCACCTCCCAGCACCCCCATGGGTCCAAATTGCTAAAGGAAATGGCTTTGGAGGAACCTGGTTGTGGACCTGAGAGTCTCTGTGCTTTAGCGACTGCCCTCGTCCCAGGACCTTATACCAGCTGGGACGCACACAGGCAAATATGGGTGGGCCCCTATTTAAATACAACCTCCTATTTAAATACAGCCTCCTCCTACAACTCTAAGTGACCCGGGACAGTCAACGGCAGTCAAGGAAATGCCTGTCTCCTTCCTCATCTTCCTCCCTGTGCTGGGCCTCTCCTGGGGTCAGTGTCCGGAAGATGCTATGGTCACAGCTGCACCCACGGGTGATGCAGTAATTCACTGTGTGCTATTTCCTTTCATCCTCAGGTGTCTTGTCCCAGGTGCAGCTGCAGGAGTCGGGCCCAGGACTGGTGAAACCCTCGGAAACGATCTCCCTCACCTGTGTCATCTCTGGGGACACTGTCTCTAGCAACAGTGCTACTTGGAACTGGATCAGACAGTCCCCAGAGAAAGGCCTTGAGTGGCTGGCAAGGATCTACTACAGCTCCACGTGGTACAGAAACTATGCACCCTCTCTGCAGAGTCGAGTAACCATCGACCCAGACACATCCAAGAACCAGTTCTCGCTGCGGCTGAGCTCCGTGACCCCCGAAGACACAGCCACATATTACTGTGCGAGAGACACAGTTAGGGGATGGCAGGGTGAGCCCAGACGCAAACCTCCCAGCAGGGATGTCGTGACCACTGGGGTAGCACCCAGAACACCCAGCACAAGGCTCAGACCAGAAACAGGTGCAGAGTCAAGCAGAAATGAATTTCCTACTGTGTCTTCATTGGTTTGGTACACGGCTCAGCAAGAGAGATCATAAAACCCCTTTTTGACATTTTTAGGGATTACATTATTTTTTCTTAGCCTACAACAAAAATTAGCACGTTTCTTCACAGCATATAGAGGAGAGTGCGCACGATTACTGATCCCTTGTTACTTCAACAAAGATGACTTTCAAAGAGTTTCTTTGCGTCATGTTGGAGGAAAAACAAGCTTGCCATTGGGTTGTCACTGAATTAAGTCACTCTTTTTTTTAAAAAGAGACTTTTTCATTCATGGCTTTTTCTACCTGTGGAAGCTTTGTGTTCCTTTTCTAATTCAATTAGTGTGCAATTCACTAACATAAAAATTAGTCATCTTAAAGTGTGCGATTTAGTGGCACTAAGTACAACCACCATGTTGTACAATCATCACATCTATCTAGTTCCAAAGCATCTGATTACCCCAAAAACAAATCTGTACGTAAGCATCAACCGCCACCCCCATTCCCAACCTCCCCAGACCCTGACAACCTCTAATCTGTGTGCTTCTTTTAAACTAAATTCCCAGAGTCACTGAAATAGCAACCATGGGAGGTATGGATTGAGTCTGCAAGACCTGTGCTGGATTCTGGACAGAGACTTCTGTAACACATCTACAGACCAGCCTGCCAGAGGGAACACAGAAGACCACAACCCCCCTCACACCCACAGCCTGGTGCCCACTGGCCAAGACTCTACCAGGTCCACCTGGGTCGGGTCCTGAGCCTTCTTCTTGGCCCATCCATGCATGTCCTGTGAAATCCAGTTTGAGCAAAGAGCTGCTGAGTCCATTCAGCAAAATCCCCCACCTGGATACCTGACTGGGCACCTCCTCTCCTGCTTTCTGCAAGAATCCTGCTGGGGCACCTCAACCAGAATCTCCCTCACCCGGATGACTCCTCTTAGCAACTGTCCACCCTCAGACCTCTCGCTTCTTGGCGGTGAACTCCACTGGCCCGAGCTGTGTTCAGAGTTGAATCCAGTCTCCCCACACTGCAAGGCCCCAATGCCTGGTCCCTGCACCAGTCACGACGGTCCTGAACAGAGTCTGTCTTGGGGTGCTGCAACTCTTGCCAGTTTTCTTCACCGCCACTGCCCTATGAGACAGAAGAGGCAAGTGGAGGTCGGAACCTCTCAGCCCCAGCGTGGGAAGATCACTCCAACACTCTCTGCTTTAACCTGTCCTTCTGTTGTTTATGATGTGGTCCAGAGAGACTTTAATCCCCTTCTGACTGGAGACACCACATGTGCTGTAATGATGCCAGACAAAGACTGCAGCACCAGTGGCCCCCAACAGGTCAC